TGGTCTTCTCATATCTGTTTTGTATTTGCATATACATGATACATCCGCATGTACATTCGTGTCTGTATTTGATTTTAACGATATGGATATGAGTTTTTCTTATCGAGACATGTTCGTATCCGAATTCCTGATTTATAAGCAGATACAGATGTGGTATGTATCATATTTGAGCCTTATCCAATATATTAAAGTGTCAGAAATATCTAAAATATCGAACGACTGATATCCATATCGGATTGCGAAAATCAGGGATATGTAAAACCTATCGGGGTGTCACATCAGATGATGTTCATATGTAACATAACATTGTAATATGCAATATAATCATATATAAATAGAGACATTGTACAAGTTCAGTCCTAATTCCTCCTCTTCAGTCTCTTCTTTTCTTGGTCAACCACCTAAAAAATAAAAGAGAGAGAGAGAGGGAGAGAGAGAGGGGGGGGGATTAGAGAGAGAACACAGATAAGAGAGGGAGGAGGGAGAGAAATTAGAGAGATAGCAGGAGTGAGAGACAGAAAAGAGAGGGAAGAGGGAGGGAGGGAGGGAGGGAGGGAGGGGGGAGGGAGAGAGAGACAGAAAAGAGATGAGGAGGGAGAGGGAGTGATGGAAAAGAGAGGGAGGAGGGAGAGAAGGGAGAGAGGGCTAACCAGAGATGATGGCGGAGCAGACCGACGACGAGGAGACTTGTGACGAGGGCTGAGGAGATCGGCGACGAAGGTGGAGAGACCAGATATCGTTTAGGGTTTAGGATAGTCGATGCGACAAGGGATTTGTGGTTATATTTGGTTTTGGTTCGGGTTTGAGTTCCCAATACTCAAACCCAAACCCAAACCCAAAACCATTTATAAACAGGCCGACTTGGCCGATTTTTGAAGCTGCAATATCGGTTGCTATATCCGATTTTTTTAATATATCGACAAATTGTGCTAAACATCAGAAAGCGCTATAAATTCATCTATATCATCTTGGCAAGGCTTCCCCTCTGTTATATTGGCCGATATTTAATACATTGGTCGTATCAGATCCATTTGCACCCCTATCTTAAGGGCTAATTAAACTTTAATTGTACTATAAGACTTTGATTATCCAAATTTTGTCTTTCAAAAGTACTCTGTTCCAAACTTTAAAGCTTGAAATGTCCCTAACTTGATATCAAATTATACGACTGAAATGTCTTTCAAAAAGGAAAAAAAAAAACTCAATCGCCAGTCTGATAGAAAATCTAAAAATACACTGTTTCTTTGTGTTTGTATGTATTGCCGACAATATTGAGTTATATAAAAGATTTATAATCCATTAATCCAAGATTCCTTTGGTTCATTCCGAAAGAGTAATCAACACAGAGATTTGTGAATTATTGAAGACATCAAATCCCACAATTAATAGACTGTTATTTTGTAGAGAATTTGTAGGGTATGTACCCCAAATTATAAATTATATGGTATATTATTCATCCTACTGGGACAATAATTTTGGGGTCAGATTTCAAGCCTACAAATGCTTCTTATTTGTTTAGGACCTAGGCTCCTTGTAAGGTTATGCGGTTCTATTTGAATGGAAGCAATTTGCTTCTGTATAACTAAATAAACGATGTACTGCTGAAATAATTGCATTGAAAATAATTTCTAAAATAATATTAAGCAGCACAAGTTCGTAACCTACTAACCTTTTTAGTGCCTTTTCACCTATTAACCATTAAAGAGCTGCTACTCCTATATAAGCAAATGACAGTTGCTTGTTTAAGTTATAAAAATTCCCAATATTTTTCTGTTTCTACCGACCTTCAAAAATGGTAAACTGACAATATGACACCTGAATTTGAAGAATTTGATCTCAAGCACTTGAGGAAAGTATCACAGTTGCATTATTTATCCTTATTATGCAGAGTTATCCTTTTTTATTATTACGTCTGTGTTCATTTTCTAATTTGAACAAATTTTATTTTGCTGGCAGTCGAGAAAACTGCGCTCCTTCCACTACTCTTATCCCGGTTAGTTTCCAAGTTCAAGAGACAAAATAGAGAACTGTCTCAGTCATCATCACCATCATCATCGCCTTCACGAGGACACAAGCTAATTTTGAAAGCTATACTTGTAGCCGTTGCAGCCATAGTATATTTTTATTTGTTAAACGATGAATGAAGCCATACTGCTGAAGTATCTGTAAGCTAAATTCAATACAAATTTTGTAATGTATGAGTAGTCTAGTTTTGATCCATTTACATGTTCTTTTCGTTTATTCTTTATTTTTCCTACTAATATGTTGATTTTTATCTTGGAGATTAGTTTGGTTGTTTTGGCATTGACAGTAAATGGGTTGTGAGAAAGGGGGGTTTTGCTTCTTTATTATATGTTATCTGAGATAAACTAATTTGGTGCGGTATGTTGCAACGGCACCTGGGCTTATAGAACCACAGGGTTGATTTTATGTGCATTCACTCGGATAATTTTCTTTTACTTTTTTTATGCAGATTATCATCTGTGTGTTGGGACAATGATATGTTTGCTCCTATATTTGCAATGAGTAATGTTGATTATAGTTCTCAGTTCGCGACAAAGTTAAATACAGAGTAAAGGGTTACCGTAACTGTACGGTTATATGATTAGTGTGCCATTGACGTTACGCTCATTCAGCTTATCAATTATGATCTGCATGTATTTGTGAGTATCTACCAGGCAGCTGTCAAATGACTCGAGTAACATATTTGTGTCAAGTAAATATGTTCATCTGTATCAAGAAAATGGACTTCAACGGGTGCCTTAGAGATTGCTACAGGGACCCAACACATGAGACCAACAGAGGGGATAGGTGATGTGTCCCTCCTCCTATTGCATAATGAGCTGGTCATCATTAATGATGGCCAGCTCATTATGCAATAGGAGGGGGACACCTCACCTGTCCCCCCTGTTAGTCCCATATCTTGGGTCTTTGAGGAATTTTTCTTTTAATTATTTGTATATATACCATTGAAATGGAGCTACTTGTAAACTACCCCTCAAAAATCTCACAATTTGCAAAACTACCCCTAAGATATCATCATTTGTAAGACTACTTTCAAATCTGGATCAGCCATTGCAAAACTACTCCTAGATCATCATCATTATTATTATTATTATATTATTATTATTATTATTATTAGTATTATTTTTTTTTTGGGGGGGGAGTACCGCTGAATACGCTCATATAAGCTTACAAGAGAGCGAGCCCCCATCCAGCCAGCTGTCCTTGCTGTACACACGGCACATATATTATCGTAATGCTCTATCTGATAATTCATCGGCTGCCGCTGCCAGCAGGACAAATCAAAACGCATAATGTTGTGCTCCGATATCACTTGTTGAGCGCTGTGGAAGCCAAACAACCAAACCAACGTGCTACGAGAAATCAAATCAAACGAACGTCGAGAGAAGGCCAAACAAACCAAATTAATGATTCAAACACAAACAACCAATTTTAACGTAGTTCGGCAAGTTGCCTACGTCCACGGGGCAAGAAGGGGATATAGTTTTTTTTACTAATAGAGAAGAAGAGTACAAACTGAGATTACAAATCACTCAAATTCACAAATTAATCTTACCAACAAATCTCTAATTCTCTCCAAACAAAACCCTAACCAATAGCTCAGAAAGTATAAAATATAACAAGATATGTGAGCTAGGATAAGTGATATACACAAGGGTAAACAAAATTAACAAGATAGTGGATGATATAAATAATGAGCAATGGACAATGACGACAAGAAATATAAACATAAGAGAAGTACGCCAAAGCAAACTCAAACACATGATATGATCACGGAGTTCGGACCTTCCGTCCTACGTCTCCGCTCCTCACTTCCGGGGAGAAATCCACTATCATAACCGGGTTTTCTACGCTCATCCGAATAACGTTTACACCTCATAATGTCGGTTTTCAACGTTCACCGATCAACGTTCACAATCACTCACAATGTCGGTTTTTAACGCTCACCGATCAACGTTCACTCCTCACACTCGGTTTTCTAGCTCATCGAAAACTTTACAACACTAACAATGTAACAACAAATATGTTCTCTATAATAAATGAGAACTCAATGTAGCTCACTCTCAATTGTTACAACTCCCCACAACCCAAATTATACTAAGTATGAAAATACAATAAGCTCAATGGTTATGTGTGTAAGCAATGAGAAAAACAATCAACTAAACTCAATTAAATTCTAACATATAGAAATTATGAACAAAACAATAAATAGCTAGAAATAGAGTTTAGAAATTCTTTTCTGAAAAACAAGATGGAGAGGTGGATTAAAATGAGGCTCAATCAATGTAGATGAACTTCTCCACTTGTAAAACAATCTTCACAAACCAAACAAACTTTAAACCCAACTGAAACCCTTGTTAAAACTCTTTTAAACTTCTTTAAAACTTTCCATTGGGTTAATTCTGGTAGAAGGGGTTTGAGGGGTTTATATAGGAAGAGAAACCAACAGCAAAAACCCCAAACAAAAGACCAAAGAATCAGAAATCTGATTTTGTACCCAATATAGCTGTTGGGCAATCGGCGGTCGACTGTGGGAAACTCACGGTCGACCGCGAGCCAGCTTTGAAACTCAGAAAACTTTCAGAGACTTACGCAGTCGACCATGACGGTCGGGGGAGCCGCTAAAAAGCATATTGAGTCTTTGGACTCAAGGCGGTCGACCGTGGCGGTCAACCGCAAACTGACATATGCAAATTGATAGGTTTGAACAGTTTTCTGATTTTAAAACCCTGTTTAAAAATATCAAATAAATTCCAAAAATATAAAACTTTGAAAAATGATTGTAGACATGATAATACACATGCTACAAAAACTGGATTTTAAAAAGAACCTCTCAAATGTAAAATATCATCATTTTGCAAAATAGTCCAAAACATAAAAATGTGATATACATGAATTTTGACATTTTAGCTTAACCATGTTTTGAAACATTACAAAATGATTATATAGACTTAATAAAAGCTGTATATGATTGTTATTAAGTCCATAAACCAAGAAAATAATATTTTCACAAAATTGCATATTTTGCAAACTTTTCAAAACAATAAATACGATTTCATGAACTAAATAAAATTGATATTGATGAAATCATATATATGCATATAAGTATGAAACAAGAAACTTAAAGTACTAACACACATAATATAAAACCTAAACTAAATATACCCAAGCTTGATCTTGATCTTCATTGTAGCTCAACTTGGTAAACTTGCGGATGAAGCTTAAACTTGGATCTTCAATTTGAATTGCATAGGCTTCACTCCACAATTCTGCCAACCTCCATTGGATTTGATCGTTGAAGCGCAATCCATCCAACCTCCAACATGTTGTTTGCCTATAATAAATAAGAAAACACAAATACTAGACAAACAACATTAGAAGTAAATTGTTTGTTAAACATCATCAAAACAAGAAGGCCAACACAAATATCCCTAATTTTCTTCTCAATTCTCTCTTCCAATTGTTCCATATATATCTAGAAATCCTAAAATCATAAACATACTAGAAATTCTAAAATAAAAAACAAAACATATTAGAAATCCTAATAATCTGTTACCAAAACAGATTTAAAATCATGTTACCAAAACAGATTAGGAATCCCAATAACCTGTTACCAAAACAAATTAGGAAACATATTAGGAACCTGCTATCCAACAATTCTCCACCTCGATGAAGTTTTCTCAAAACTGAGCAAACACCAATACCAACCAAACGTCTCACATGTTGCGTCCAGTACGAAGTGGAACAGATCCATGACAACGGACTCAATCCACAACAAGTCGAGAACCTAAACGAGAATGCGAACAAACTCCAAATGTTGGTATCAACTCACCAAACCGGCTGCATCATAAATGACTGCCTACGTATCCTCTTGCCCAAGGAATCAGGCATTCATGTAATTCACCCAAATGGCCTCCAAAGGCCCTCAATCAAATAGAAAAGTTTGTAACTCTTCACCAATATCACCAATGGATCTACAACGAATAGCGCTCCCAATGGCCCTAAACTGAAACAAATCAAACACCTCCATCTGAGGTGAACCAATGGCCGTATCCAAAACATGTCCACCAGCTGCACTCGAATCCAAAACTAACTCATCATCTGCATCCAAATCCAAATGGTCTTCAAATTGTGTCACCTCAGCTAGAATCCCAAATGATATAGTATGATCTGGAGTATGTGGAGTAATCTTCACCCAATGTGAAGTAGCATCACCCTCCACCCACTACGATATCCCAATGATCAGATCAACACTCTCCATCTACAGAGAGTCAAATATGATATACCTGCTCAGAACAAAATCAGAAGCTCCTAACTGATAATCAAAAGAACCTCTGAATCCTAAACATGCAATCAGATCAAATCTCACATCCTCGATATGACCAAATGCTGGGCAACCAAATATCCGACACAACCAAAAATCTAAAGCAGCTCCACCAGATCCAAAATATGTCGAAGCTTCAAAACCAAAACCAATGCTTGACAACCAACGCTGATCCTCCTCCAGTAAGGAACAACCCATCAAAACTATCATCTCATCTCGTCACCCCAACGTCTCCACATCAATGAAGTGTCTCAATCTACCATGAGCTCAGCACAAATATAAGAAAGAACCCCTACCAAAGCTAGAACGACGAGTTACCTTTCTGCCAATACACTTCTTCTAATTGTTGTTGACTTATAGGACTTCACACCAACGGGACCTGGTTACAACCCACTAATGCCTAGAACAATCCCCAACTATGAAAACCAAATACCGATTACCTCCTAATGATGCATCCTTGGAAGGCCCCCAAATGCCTGACTGAACACCATCTAAAAGATCCCTTAATCAATGGATAGAAGTGCCAAATTCCACATCGATCTTCTTGATCATACCAAAGTGCTCAAAGGACTTCAATCTGTAGGTCAAAGCACTCCTCAACAAACCATGCACGACATAACCAATCAAATAACCCAGCCTCAATAAATACCACAGTCTAGCTAAATCCAAAGAAGTCGTCAGCTCTCTATCAAACACCATGCTCCTAATCAAATAATACAAATAATTCTTCCTGACGCCCTTCATCATAATCATGGACCCCAATGTGACCTTCAAACGTGAATCGATCAAGGTCACCCTATAGTCTGTTACCTCCAAAACTCCAAGTGAAATGATGTTCTTCTTCAACTGAGGAACGAACCTCACTCCAACAACCTCCAGAATCACTCCGTCACTCATCCTAATCCGAATGGTACTGATATCACTAATAGGACATTCATGATCATTACCCATGAGCACGACCTCCCCTCTTTCCAACTCCTGAAAACTGGAGAACCAATC